GTTGTTTTGGTTTGATCTACAGAATGACACTCTGAGGCTGTTTAAATGTCTTTTCATTATATTTAGCATCACCGTTTTGTTTTGTTTTGTTTAGTTATAGTCTACTGTGAGATATTTTTGTCCCACTCATTTGGTCATTTTATTCCTGAGTGGATTTGTCCTTTTGTTCAGCTCTTTAGTCAGTGAGTTGTGACTGATCATCACATGAGATAGGATTTCTCTTCCTGTTTCCGGTGAAGGTTGAGATAGGATGTCACTAGCTAGCCTGGAGCTTGGTATATATAGCAGATTGACCTTGAGCTCATAGAGATCCTCCTGCCTCACCCTCCCAAGTGCTGGAATTGAAGTTGTGTGTCTGTGCCTTCCCTTCACCCCGCTTCTGTGTGTATGGATGTTTTGCTTGCATGTAAGTTTGTACACCAAGTGTGTGTGGCGCCCTAGGAGGCCAGAAGAGGGTGTTGGATCCTTGGCAGTTATGGATGGTTGTGAGCCCCCATGGGGGTGCTGAGATGGAACCCAGATCTTCTGGAAGTATACAGCCAGCGTCCTTAACTGCAAAGCCATCGCTCCAGCCCCACCTGAAAGAGCTTTTAACCAACTGTTGGCCTCTTGCACTGCTATTCTGGTCATGTAGAATTTCTGTAACTTAAGACCTTCCCTGAATCATCCAGAATGTTACCAGCCCATCACACTGTAAAAGACATACACTCGCTCACACACAGATGGGTGCACACGTGTATACACACACACATACTCATATACACCGTGTATACACACACACAGAGCCTCCCAGACTATTGCTTCTTTGATCAGTTTCTGTATGGGATTGATCTAGCCTATGTGTGCTGTATGTGATGTCATAGGCATGTACTTCTGTTTGCATATTAGCATGGGTGTTCCTGTATATTGAATTACCTCACACATTACAGATCTTAGAAATTTTGTCCAACCACAGCAGCTTTATAAATAAAATAAGCCTTTGTTGTGAATCCAACATTTGGGGTTAGCAAGAGAAGCCTTGCCTGGACAAAAGATGAGCAGTAGAATGAATGGTGATCAGTGACCTCTCCCTCCCTAATTTAGGGAGGACTCTAAACTGTGGTACAGAAGAGTTTCTGCCACAGTCTAAGGAGGTTGTGCCTGATTTGCCTCCAACAGATATTTGCTAACGGGCGATAAACGACAGGTTCTGGAGTAGACAGCAGGCACACAGAGTCTCTGCCTTCAAGAAACTACTGTTGGTGTCAGCCTTGGTAACTCCAGCACTGTAGAGATAGAGACAGGTGCATCTCTGTGAGTTCAAGGCTGTTAATTCCGAAACCACTGAGCAGAGACTGCCACTCACAGATGCAGTTGGCAAGAGTGTTTTACTTCTCAAAAACCTGCATGCAGGGGTCAAACCATTTTACAAAATGGCGACCCTAGACAAAGGTGCACAGGCCTTTTTATAGGAAACTAGGGAAATTCTAGCAAAGGTTAGGTAATCTAAGACCTCATTGGTGGGTACCAGGTAAGTTACAAGGACCAGTTCCTCACTGGCTTGAGTCCAGGTGGTCAATGGGCGGCATTCCTGTGCCATGAATGTTTAACTACAGGATGAGATAAGGCTGCCCAGCCAGATGCCCCATCCTGAGACAAGATATTTTCCCATTCTTGTGGTTATTTCCAGGCTGTTCCTTGGGTAGGGGATTTTATGGTCTTGTTCCTGGAATTGGTGACCTATGGCCTAGTTCCTGGGACTGATGACTTTTCTTTTAATGTCAGGCCTGGTCCTAAAATGATGACAAAATAGTGTTTATGTCTTCCTCTCAAAGGCCAGCCTGGTCTACAGAGTGAATTCCAGGACAGCCAGGGCTATAAAAGAAAGAGATCCTGTCTCCAATAAATAATTGGATGGATGGATGGATGGATGGATGGATGGATGGATAGATGAATAGATTGTATAGATAAAAATAAAGTAAGTAAGTAAAAAAGAAGAAAAAGATTGGGAGCTGGGAGATGGCTAGGTGAGAGTGCTTGTCCTAGCAGGGCATTGGTGGAACATGCCTTAATCCCAGTCCTTGGGAGGTAGAGGCAGGCAGGCTGTATGAGTTGGAGGCCAGCATGGTCTACAGAGTGAGTTCCAGGATGGCCAGGGCTACACAGAGAGACCCTGTGAGGGGGCAGGGATGCTTGTCCTGCAAGCATGGAGACCTGAATTCAAATTCCCATGTAAAATTTGGGCACAGCCACTGGGTACCTATTACCCAGTGCCATGGGGAACAGAGACAAGAGGAATTTGGGGGCTTGGCTTGATGGCTGCTAGCCTAGTTCCAGGTTCAATGAGAGGAAATAAAGCAGAGTGATAGGGAGCAAGACACCCAGCACCTTCCTCTGGCTTCTGCATGTATATGCAGAGTGCATGTATGCAGGTAGAGAGAAGCTACCATTTTAGTGGGGCAGACCATAAACAAATAAATATAGCTGATGTTAAATGGTACAGAAAAAATGGCTAGGTGTTGGCAGTAGAGGTGCTTTTTTAAAAACACGTAGAGGGGCTGGAGAGATAGCTCAGTAGTTAAGGGCATTGGCTAATGGGTGGTGGTGGCACTCAGAGTCAGAGACAGACAGAATTCTGAGTTCAAGGCCAGCCAGGCTACACAGAAAAAAACCTGGCTTGAAAAACAAACTAAAGACAAACAAAAGAGTACTAAGTTTGATTCCAAAAAACCTAAGTTTGATTCCTGCCATCTCTGTGGTGGTGGTGTAGGACTATCTGTAACTCCTACCCTAGGGGATCCAACACCCTCTGTGGACTTCCATGAAACCAGGCACACATGAGGTATACAGACATACATTCAGACAGTACATCCATGCACAGAAAGTAAAAATAATAATAAAAGAAATCTTTAATATGTCAGAGAGGGAGAGCTAAGAAAACATGGGGATGATAATATTTGAAGAGAGAGTGATTTGAGGACAGAGCTGTGGGACATTGCTCATTTTAGAGATCTGAGGATCAGGAATCAGCAACTTAGAAGTCCCCGGTGACTTAAAAGAAAGAGGTGGGGTGCACAAGCTGTTTCCAGAAGGAGGCAGTGGAAACTGAGTTGGAATTTGTTGATGGGTGAGATATAAGAAGGATGGAGAGCCTTTAGATTTGGAACACCCTGGCACACCGCTTCAGTGGAACAAAATTCCTCATTGAAATGGATTTGAGAGAGAGCACACTGGGTACAGATCACTCCTGAAGAATTTTCCCTTAAAAGTAGGCAGAAAAATGGGTTGGAATCTAAAGGGGAGATAAGGGACCAAGGGAAATGTTATGTAGTCGGATGCTCCTGCGCACAGTAGGTGGCTAATGGGGATTGTCCATTGGTGGGGAACAACAACAGAGAGAAGAAGAGCAGCAGGAGCCACTTGTGAACATCAGTGTCCTGAGAAGCGTGCTCGTGGAGAGACCCACTGCCCTGGGGACAAAACACTTCAGTGTCTGGAGGGAAAGTGGAGAATCTCAGAGTGAGGTACAGCTGGACTGGTAGAGACGACACCAAGAAAACCAATGTCCCGGTCCCCACCCCCATTGGCCACCTTTGTAGATGTTTGTTTTATTGACATTTACATTTTTTAAACCTTTCTGTGTGTTGGAGGAAGTGGAACCTTGGGTTATTCCTGTTAGCATCAGGCTCCTATAAATGAAAAAAACTCTCCTGGAGAGTGGTGGCAGGTGCCTGAAGTCTCAAACTCTGCAGGTTTAAACAAGAGGGCTACAAGTTCAAGACCAGATTAGGCTACACAGAGAGATCTTATGGATAAAAGGAAAGGGGGGAGAAGAGCGGTTGAGGCAGCCTCATGTCTGTAATCCCACTGCTGAGGGTGAAGGCTGAAGCAAGAAGATTGCAGCAAGGCTAAGGCCAGCCTGAGTTCCATTCTTCAGAGTGAAACCTTTGTTTCAAAAAGAAAAAGAAATTGAGAAGAGATGTTTGAGTGATGTAACAGTTGAGTGAACTCTGCCCAGGCTTTTGGTATCAGAGTGGAACCTGTCGGCAGCTAGTGCCTCCTCCACTGTAACATTTGACTGGCTTAGAAGAGTCTCTCTCCACTTAAAAAACTGTCTTAGAGAAAGTGAACTAAAAGCAAACATCTTCTTGGTAAATAAGTTAAAATGAAATATCTAAGCCAAAGGAGGTGAGGGGGTGAAGCCAGGCATGGTGGCAAACGCCTATAATCCCAGCATTTGGGAGGCAGAAGCAGGTGGATCTCTGAGTTCAAGACCAGCCTGGTCTACAAAGCGAGTCCAAGTCAAGGCTATACAACCCTCCCCCCCCCAAAAAAAAACAATAAATAAATAAATAAATAGATAGATAGATAGATAGATAGATAGATAGATAGATAGATAAATAAATAAATAAATAAATAAATAAATAAATAAATAAATAAATAAGCAAGCAAGCTCTAAGCCAAAATAAAAATAGTTTTCTGGTTGTAAAAGGAGTATACATTTGGTCTATAAAATGAATCAAACCCTTTCCCAGCCTGTCCACACCCCATCTGCCTTTCAGAGAGAACACAATACATAATTTGTAAAATACTGCTTCCTGGATTTTTCTACATACATATGTGTATTTATGTGTATTATATTTGATAATTATTTGCTTGTAGCTTATGTCTCTGATCAGTTTTCAACTAAGAATTAAATAAAAACTGCCTGCTGGGAACATTGATTTTGAAATGTAATATAATTTGTTCATCATTTCAATTTAGGGGCTTTATAGATTTATACAGTTTGGGTTATAGAGACTAGAAGTCTCAGGAGTGCATAAGGGGGGCGGGACACAAAACTGTCCTTTGTTTTAGAATCGAATGCTTCTTTGATAGTGAATAATGAGGCGCTAGCCTCAGCTGATAACTGGGTTTCACTCAACAGTAAGTACAGTGCCATTCTAAAGATTTTTCATATTTGTTGATAATGGTTTTTTGCTTAGCACATTTTGGGGTGTTTTGTTTTTGTTTTTAAACAGGAGAATGAGCTACTAAAAGAAAAGAGTGAAGCTGTGGATCACAGTTCCCAGCATGAAGAAAATGAGGAAGGGGTGTCAAGCCACGCAAAATCACTACAACAGAGTAAGAAAGATGAAACCAAAATGACAGACACACCTGACTGGGAAGCAGAGAAGATCACTGAGTCTAGAAACCAGGTGAGCAGGTGAGAAGGTTTCAGGAGGCTTGCCATTTGCCTTTTATAAGGACTTTGTGTTGTTGATGAGTTCTGTGTCTAAGTATACACTGACATAAAAACACATTTAAAAGTTTGTGTGTAAGCCAGGCATGGTGGTGCACACCTTTAATCCCAGCACTCAGGGAAGCAGAGGCGGGCGGATCACTGTGAGTTCAAGGCCAGCCTGGTCTAAAAATGGAGTCCAGGATAGCCAAGGTGACACAGAAACTATCTTGAGAAACCACCATCTCGAAAAGCCAAAACCAAAACAAACAAAAAAAGGTTATATGTGGCAGTTGTACTTACAAAGCAATTAGCCCAAAGCATTTTCTCCGGTTATAGACAGAACTTATTAGCAGGAATGTTATTTATGTTTACTAAGTCAAGGAGTAAATGATAGCTGGCATCCAGATTAGCCTGGCTAGGTCTGGGAGGTCAAACGAAGGGCCATCCTTAGAAACATTTCTCTCAATTTCCATAAAGCTTAGACCCAAGTCCTCAGTCTGTCAGTGGGTCAGGCCAACCACTGGTGCCCAATAGCCCATTTCCTAACTCTGCCCTCACCTAAGGGGCGAGGTCCAAACTCCTTCTAAAGGGTATCTTTCTGTTCTCTTGACTGAACAGGGTGACCCCAGGTTTCACGTGGGCCATACCCCAGTTATGACTTAGCCCTGCTATGGTCCTAGCCACAAGTCTGTCAGAGTTGCTCCACATAGACCTGGTGGTTAATGGACATGCATGACATTTTCACCTGCGAAGTGCATCCTTGTCCTGATGGTTTTTTCACCGTGACCAGCTGCAGTACCTGCCTTCTCTGGGAGGTGGAGTCTGGAGCTCAGTCCTGAAAACCCTTAGATGATGGGGAGTCCTATCCCCTGGCACTTACATAGCCCTCATCACCATGTAACGTCACACCAAGAACCTGACTGCGGAGTTGATGTAAAATCCACAGCTCTCATCTTTTTTTTTTTTAATTACACTTTATTCACTTTGTATCCCCCCATAAGCCCCTCTCTCCTCCCTTCCCTATCCCACCCTCCCTTCCCCTTCTTCATGCATGCCCCTCCCCAGGTCCACTGATAGGGGAGGTCCTCCTCTCCTTCCTTCTGATCTTAGTCTATCAGATCACATCACGAGTGGCTGCATTGTCATCTTCTGTGGCCTGGTAAGGCTGCTCCCCCTCAGGGGGACGTGATCAAAGAGCAGGCCAATCAGATTAAGTCAGAGGCAGTCCCTCTTCCCATTACTTTGTAACCCACTTGGACACTGAACTATGGCCAACTGTTGGGCTGAGTGCATGGAATCTTATGTAAGAAGTGGGAAATAGTAAGAGCTGGAGAGGACGGGAACCATACAAAGAGAGCAACAGAACCAGAAAATTTGAACACAGGGAACTTCCTAGAGACTCATACTCCAACTAAGGACTATTCATGGAGATAACCTAGAACCCCTGCACAGATGTAGCACAGCTCTCATCTTAAAGGGAATAAGAGAGTTTATTCTGGAGTCATTTTGAGTGACCATGGCCCAGGAACAGAGATTTACTTTACTTCTAATTCCATGTTCCAACATGGAAGCAGTTTCACGAAGGTTTTTCCATATTGGCAAGTTTGATGAGTACATTGGTGAGTACATCAGAGAGGCAGGTACAGTGAGATGAGGGCAGCTTTTCTAGAGGTCCACCCAGATGCTAGCTGAGCTTTTGGGTTGGTGGAAGCTAGTGGTCTGCTAAGTGAATAGGTCTCAAAAGGTTTTATCTGGTAGTTGCGGGTTAGTTCTGACACATGTAAGGAATGGCTATTCCGAGGGCTAGAACTAGCCCAAGATACGGTAACTAGAGGGTGCTCTCTTTATCTGCCCACCACTCTTGACCCCCTTCTGGCCTTTCTCTTTCTAGGAATGCAGTTGTTCTTATACTACGGGTAAAACCTAGGCCAGGAGCACAGCTTCTAGAGATTCACATTAAGAAATCCCTCTGGGAGCTGGGCGTGGTGGCACAGCCTTTAGTTCCAACACTCAGGGAGGCAGACTCCAGGACAGCCAAGGCTACCTACACAGAGAAACCCTGTCTTGTGAAACCAAAACAAAACAAACAAAAACAAAAAAGAACTCTCTGGTTGGGCTAGGAATACAGGCCAGTGGTTGAATAATTGCCTAGCACCATGAGGCCCTAGTCCAGTCCTAAACACTACCAAGAACAAAAGCCAAAACACTCTCAGGTCATAGTAGCTTAGCAGCTCTTAAGTACAAAATTAAACACCCTACCTCCTCATCTGCTGCACCCTCAACTGACAAATCACACTGAGGTCACAAGATTGTCCTCCCTGCTGGTGAGACTGTTTTCCTCCAGGGGCAAGGATAGTAAGAGCTTAGGAAGGTGGTTGACTGGGCCCAGCAGGTGGTGCTTTCACTTACTGATTGGATATATAAAAAACTTTTGGATATTTATAGGCAACTGTTCCATATTTGTAGACATTTTCATTTGCCCCCAGATGGTCCTGTTAAGATTTCTGAATGTTCACTGGCATGCCTCCCCTTACTGGGTGGTCTTTGGCTGCCTAACATGTCTCTAGACACTTGCTCACTTCAAGGAACATTTAACAATCTGTAAATGGTCTCCTTAGTGCTTCTTTTGCCCCCCTTTTTGAAAGGAAGAACACACCTGCCTTTTGCTCCCTTAACCTCTCCAGCTTCAACCTTCATCAGCCTAGTTTCACTCTTAAAATCGAGAAGCCATAGTACAGGCCTATAATCCCAGTGACCTGGGATCCAGAGGTATGACTGAATGTTCAAGGCCAACCAGGGCAACTTACCAAGACCTCATCTCAAAAGACAAAGATGCTTCTTCAATCCACCTTCTGTAGTGCCTCAGTCAGCTGAAGAAAAAGCTGTTTCTACTGTTCTTTAATTTACTATGCAATTCTCTATTGCCTCGTGCTAATGGTTACTATTTCTCCTCACATGTTGGTGTCTTTCTCTTTATTCCCTCATTGGCCTTTCCAGGAAGGAAAGTTTCTCTTAATTACTTGTGGTAACTAAATCACTATTAGAAATGGTAGACTCGTTACATATGGAGATAAAGAGCTGTAAGACAGCAGTTTGGATCAAACTTTGCAGAACATATTCAACACCCAAAGCAGGGCACTTTGTCTTACGTAGCCCAATTCCTGATCCTCCCAAATGCTGGGATTGTAGGCAGTGCTATCACTCCTTGTCATGCCTTACCAGACTCATGTCCCTAGCCTGGGTCACTGTGTACTGCAAATTTTACCTTTGTTCTCCTTGAGATGCTGTGTGGCCGAAGTTAGTCTCAAATGTGGAAACCTGTGAGCTTGTGATCCACCGCAGCCTCCAAAGTAGCAGTATCTCTCAGAATACCACTGGCAATATCCATTTTTGAAAAAGAAAAAAATGTTGCATGTATGCTGATTTACCTGCCTGTATGTCTCTGCCTGATGCCTCCCGAGGTCCTAAGAGGGCCTCAGATCCCCTGGAACTGGAGTTTACAGGTGGTTTTCAGCCACCATGTTTTGAACCTGGACCCTCTGCAAGAGCAGACAGCACTGTTAAGTGCTGAGCCAGTTTTCCAGGCTTTCTTTTGAGTAGCACATTTTAATAGAATCTTGTGTCCACTAACAGGTATCCTAGCGCAGGCTATTATTTTGTGTGTGCCAGGCATGTGTAGGAGGTCAGAGGACAATGTGGTGGAGTCTGTTCTTGCCTCCACTTTGACATGGCTCCAACTCAGGTTGTCAGACTTGTGCTGAGAGGGCTTTACCGTCTGGACCATCCTTCCATCCTTGCTGGACAGTTTAAAATAGTGATACAAGAATGAACTTAAGTTTAGAATTTAATTGGGAACTAAAATCAAAAGGGTTGGAACCAGGTTTGAAGGCAGATACTAGAGATTAAGACCTCAAAATCCATGTCCAAGGGGATATGAGCTGCTAACATAAAATGCTAATGGGAAACAGAACTAATCATCTGCTAGAAATCAGAACCCTTAGATATATAGTCAAAATGAGTCTATAGTTAGTAACCCTTGAAGCAGAAGATTTATACAAAATAGCTCTCAGCAAAAATGAACTTTAAGCTGGGTAATAGGCGCACACACACTGGGGAAGCAAAGGAAGGTGGATCTCCGCGAGTTCCAGGATAGCCAGGCTGTTACACTGAAAGACCTTTGTCTCGAAACCCAATCCCTCCCCACTCCTGGAGAGAAAAAAAAAAAAAAACTCTTAAAAGAGCCAGATGTGATGGTACATGCCAGATTTCTTGGCACACAAAAGGCTGAGGCAGGAAGCTTGCTGTAAGTTCCAGACCAGCCTTGGTTATAAGGCCCTCTCAAAACAAACAAAAACAAAAAACAAAAAACTCAAACTAAGATTTCAGTGTTTTTCTAATGGTAATCATTTTCTGTTTATATTCAGAGCCATCTACATTGGTCAGATACATCTTTCTCTCTGGAAGATTTATTTCAACTGCTTTCATCACAGCCTGAACATTCCCTGGAGGTAAAAGGAACCTTAACTTGTATTTAAACGCTACCACCCCCAACAAAACAAAACAAACCTTGAGCTGACAGACGTCTATGTAAATTAAGGAATCCTACTTGAAGACATAGCAATTTACTAAGTACATTTATAGAGCTCAAAGGGTTAATTTTCATAGAAACAACCACTTGGAGAATTAAAGCATAGGCCATTTTGTCACATTTAGACATCCAACAGTTAACATCCATTCTGGTGTTAACTGTTTTCCTGGTAGAATGCCTCTTAACCTCTCCTCAAGATTGCTCACTTGCTTATCCTTGACCCTTCACAATGTGGATTTCGGCTTCAAATGCATTGAGATCTGTATCCTAAAATTACAAGGCTTAATAACTGAAATAGCCAGCTTAATTCCCTGATTATTCAAGACCTCTTAGCCCTAGGAACAGCAGCACATTGATTTGAGATCACATTATTATCTTAAGCAGGGACTTGTTCAGTCAATAGTATATCCATATTAGTGCAGATAAATTGACAAAAAAAAAAAAAGTGAGCTTATATCAGATAATGGAACTCCTTCTGAAATTATAACTTTTGTTCTTCAGGGCATCTCATTGGAAGATATTCCACCTTTTCTGAGCAGTGTCAATGAGAGTGTGAACTCCTTAGCACATAACACAAATTTGAGCCAAGCTATAAGCCATGATGTCAATCTTCATGAAGCCATGCTGTTGTGCCCCAACACTACCTTTAGAAGAGATCCAACAGCAAGGTCTTCACAGGCACAAGAACCATCTCTGCAGTTAAATTCTCATAACAACCCTGAACAAGTCATCCCTGCCATGTCTCTTCCACCTGCTGACAATCAAATGAGGAATCTAACAAGCCAAGATGTCCTGTATGACCTTGACTCAAATATATTTGATGGAATAAACCTAATGTCATTAGCCACAGGTTTCAGTCCACTGGAAGTCTCTCAACTTTTTGAAGAACCGGACTCTGATTCTGTGCTCTCATTAAGTTACAATAGCACCTCCATTACCAAGTCTAATTCTTCTCACTGCATGTGTGATGGTGCTGTCGGTTACAGTAGTGACCTTCAGTCTCTTTGTCATGATTTGGGTGCCGTAGGAGGCTGCTACCCAGAACCCTGTAAACATTGTCATACGGATCACAGGACCGTATCTGGCTTTCATGGGGATCTTGAATGTCAGCAAGTATTTCATGACCACACTTACCACTTACAGTCAGGTGTACCAGAGCCCACACCTCAATCTTTTACATGGTCAGGCAAGTCACAGAAAATCAGTGAGTGCCTTGATGACCCAGACAGAAACTTGAGCCGTGATGAACAACGTGCTAAAGCTCTGCATATTCCCTTTTCTGTAGATGAAATTGTCCACATGCCTGTTGACTCTTTTAACAGCATGTTAAGCAGACACTATCTGACAGACTTGCAAGTTTCTCTCATCCGTGATATCAGACGAAGAGGAAAAAATAAAGTTGCTGCTCAGAACTGCCGTAAACGTAAACTAGACATCATATTAAATCTAGAAGATGATATATGTAATTTACAAGCAAAGAAGGAAGCCCTCAAGAGTGAGCAAGCTCAACGTAATAAAGCTATTATTATAATGAGACAGAAGCTGCATGACCTCTACCATGATGTTTTTAGTAGGTTAAGAGATGACCAAGGTAGGCCAGTCAATCCAAACCACTATGCACTTCAGTACAGCCAAGATGGAACTGTTTTGATTGTACCCAAAGAACTGGTACCATTAAGCCATAAAAAGGAAGCCCCAAAAGGAAAGAGAGAAGAAACTGAACAGCTCCAGTGACCTCCATCACAAACTTCAAGCCTTAAAAAGCACTGCTACTTAGTTAAGGCTTTAAGTTTGAATTGACAAATGTTTAGGACTGAAGATTATGCTTCTGTGAAGTTGGGGAATCCACACATTTTCATGGACCATTACTGCACTATGACTCATACCTATGTTAAGCTCCCAGAACTTTTACAGTCACCTTTTGATAAGGTGCTCATTTGAAAAAGCTGAGATGTTTTCGGCTTTAAGTGGAAATAGCCCTAGTTTTTTCTGAAGTTTTTTTAATATTTAACTTGTGAAAGTGTGAAAATAAATTTTATATTTGAATATTTCAGCCAAAGTCCAAACTTTGTTTTCCTTGTTTGTCCATAAAATGCAGTTTCTTAACAATATGTCTCTAAGGCTAATTACTGTCAAGCTTCAAACCAAAGTACCCTAGCTTTATGAATCCGTACACAGTAGTACTACTCTGTGGCAATAACCTCCCAACCTAAAATATTAAGTTAGATGAACAGCTACTAAGCTTACCATCTTAAAACACGGGTGTTTTAAAAAATTTACATGAACCAGATTAAACAGAAATTATCTCAAGTTCACTAAAACAGGTGATTTTGTTATAATTTGAACTGTCACTATTTAGTAAGATTGCAAGGACAACAATTAGTCTTTTCCTAAATGTTAAAAGGCTTTAATGTTAACAGGTTTAGATTGAAATTAGCGTATGTGGCAGTAAGTCCGGTTTCACAGTAAACCTTATTTTGTACATGGGATGCGAACCCATGCTCTATACACATGAGCATGAATCACTTGTACTAAGAACCCAACCGTGGTAGACAAAGTACTGTGTACTAAGAACCCAACTGTGGTAGCATGTGAAAGTAAAAACCAGGAATAGCATTATAGCAATGGGGAATGGAAAAGAAACGGGCATTCAGTGGCTGCTCTTCTCAAGGACCCAAGCTTGATTCTCAGCATTACACACATGCTAGACATATACAACACCATAAACTGCAAATATTCACCTTTCATGAGTTTTTCTGTAGCCTTGAATTTCCCTTTGTATACCTGGCCAGTTTTTAAAGTAAAATTTTAACACATCTGACAACCACCGTGTCAAAATCCCCACTATTTGCACAGGATCATCTACAAGACCATTTGGGATCTGCACTCCTTAAAGGAAAACTTGACCAGTTATAAAGCAAGGTGTTTTATCCCCTCATATTATCCACTTACTATAGTATTCTAGGCCAATCCTACCTACCATGCATTGGATATACCAAGCCACATATACAAAGTTGTTACCATTTTGTCTTTTTTTTTTTTTAATAAAAACCCAATGTTCCAAGTTTGATAGCTCAGGTCAAAGGCCTTTTGCCAGTCTGAGGATGACATTTGGTTACCAGAATGCAGATTAACTTCCAACACCACTTGTCATTACACCACTGTTGTTAGAATCACCAAGATAATTCCAGAACCCAAGTTCAGTTCCCAGTGGCATGGCTAAGACAGGTCCTTCATCTAGACCCAGAGTATCCAAAAGCAATGTATGCAACACTCAAGATTGGAAAAACTAAAACCCAATAGTAAGTCAAATGCCTTCAGTGATCCTTCCATACTGGTTTGTAAAAGCCTCAGTAACAAACACTTCTTTCATACCTTCCATGAACCATCAGTTCATTCTTTTCATGGCATTGTCTGTCATGTTCCTTATTTTGTGCAATGCAGATGTGTTTTTAAGCCTTTATTGAGCGAGGTCATGAGCTCTCATTTTGCAGCTGACAATGTAGACCATGATGGCCTTGATCTCCCAATTTCCCAAGTGTTGTGACTAAGTGGTATGCTCTGCCACTCTACCTTTCGGTTTTGCTAACTGGAAGCCATGTATCTGGACAGATTATTGATATACATACTAATCCTCAAGCTACTAAGAGCTCACATTCATTACCCACTAACTTACCTGTACACACTACCTTATTGTCAAAACCAAACCAGGTTAGCAACTGTTCTGGTTGTTTTAACTCAAAAGTCCCAATAAGTGTAAACCACAAAACTTGAGTTTAACCACTGGTACTCATCCACAAATACAAACTGGACTAGAACTCATACTTGTTAGATCATTGGTGTTTTGCAAATGCAAACTAACATGAAACATTCTACCTGGCTAAAATCCATAGATTCAGAATGCCACTGTTAATGTTCAGAGAAAGTTGTAGCAATATGCAGTTCATAATGAGCATTTTATTAAAGACAGCAAGTAATGCCCTCTTCTCATTTCTCTATTAATATAGAATGAAAGCTGTAAATGTATAGTTTTATGAAGAACTAATTTAAAAACCTAAGGGGATGACGATCTTGTAGACAACTGAATGTTGACAGAACAAGATTCACACTTATGTGTAAACATTACACCAAGGTATTTGGATACAAAAGTATTTATTTTATAAAACTTGTACTCAAAATAGCTTTTCTGTCTACTCACAAATCCTAATTTAAAACATAACACATTATCCTTATCTAATTTGATGTTACTTTTTACAAACAGTACTCATTTTATAATTTTATCAAGAACCTGTACTAAATGAAATTTTTAATCAGAAAACATTCCCTTTTATCTTAAAAGTGCTTCTTAAATGAAGGCACCACAAGAACTACTTTCAGATGGTACAGAATTTCTTATTTCTTGAAGACTCTGTGGTTGACCACTTCTTCATTAGTTACCTGCAGCAAGACACCTTCCTGCCAAAGGAAAAAAAAAGTATCTGAAGAAGTTTATCATGTTTGTCCAAAGAACCTAAATAACCTCAGTGGTGTTTTTAGGATTAAAGCAGACTCACTGATGTGTATAAGCACTGAACATCACAGTTTTGAAAAGGCAATAAAGCCGAGAATCAGAGGGCAGTTTTAGGAAAGGAATTTCAGTAGCCAACCTCAGTGTTTTAGGGCAGGACAATGGGCAAAAACTTACTACCACATTTTAACCCAATTATTTAGTACAGGGTACACAAAAAAGGGTTTGGTTGTTTTTGTACAGAAATTTCTAATGTAGTTAAGACACTATCCTTAACCTGTCACAGCTTCGTCCCTAATTAGCATGTTAAGTTAGGACCACAAAGAAATAAGAAACAATGCCTTAAAATTCCTAGTTGACTCAAACTTCTTGATCCAGAATAGGTGAATAAATACACAAGGGTGGAGTGATAGGTAAAGCTCATTTATTGAACTTGCAGCCTAACTTTTACCTACCATTTTACTACCAACACCACTGAAGGAAGCAAGAAAAGCTTTATTAATGATCACTTGGCTTGCCTCAGCTGTTGAAATGAAGCACTTTACAGTCTTTGTGGCAGCAGAATATACTTGTCCATGGTTCATAGCAATGCTAAAATTCCAGCAGGGAAAAAAATGATATGTTAAGCACCTGAATCTTCATGGAGAGGGAGGGGGGGAAAAAGAAAGGAAAAAAAAAGGGGAAAACAACCAAAATAATTTAAGTAAATGACAGATTGGAAAACAGGGTTTATAAAATTATCTTGAGTTTATTATGTTAAACTCAAATTTATAGCTATGTTAAACTACGTAAGAACCACTATACTGAAAGACCATTGAAGAGTTTATTAGTTTATCTTTTAGGGAGGAAAATTAAGAAAGAAAAAGTAAATAAGATCTTACCTAAAGAAGTTTAACTGAAGCTTAGAACTACTTTGCTCTACACCCTCAGCTTTCGTTGGCATCCTTATCAACTACTGTAGTTAAAGCTTTGTAGATACAGCACAGTTTTTTAAGACTGGCTGAGCTTAGTCGTCAAGAGTTCTCTTGTACTAGACCTGTGTCCCTGAAGAGTACCTCGCTGGGGTTATTTCCTTTCCTTGCATTGAAGAAGCAGCATCTAAAAGATCTAAAAAGGTGTTTCTCCTTGCAGAGATATCCCTTCAGTTAACTAGATAATTTAATCCTGATGAATTGCAGACAACACACTTAAAAATCTGACCAGCATTTATCTTACACAAATACAACAACAGCTTTGCAATGGACCTTAATTATACTACCCACTCCTTAACTTATTTAAAATAAAAAGTCTATAATTACACAATTTCCTTTAGAATTATTTTATTAAATCATAAATGTACAACAGCTTCTTAACTCTACACACGCACTTAAAATTTTTAAAGGAAAAACGTTATGTCTTATTACACCATGATCCTGGCTAATAGCTTTTCAAAACTTTTGAGAAAAATCTTAAAAAAGGTTTCACATGTCACCTGAAACTTACAAATTTAACATTATCGAAGAAGGAATGCTTCTACACTCTTACAAAGACCACTAGAAAGAAACAACAATTAAAAAGCTAAGAAACTGTCTCAAAGGCATTTACAATCCTTCCTCCACAGTAAGGTAATGTTATTAAATAATCCAATCCATTCACAAAATGGCTCTCTGCATCTGCTCTGGTGTCTTCTGCCATATCACTGCATATTTATGCATGACTGAGATAAGAGTTTCCTTAACATTGTTATTTCGATAACCTGAAGCTGTTCTGTTACCTCTGGGCTCTCATCCTCTCCTATTTATACAGTGAAGCCTGTTTCAACAGAAGTAAAGAGTAAAAAAAAATAGGTTATGAAATTATCCATCTACCCAGGTTTTAAGGAAAGATAACATGATCCTAAAATGTTTTTACTCCTGCAGCTAGTTATCCCACGATAATAATAATTGTAAAACTCAAAAACTACTTACCCATGGTAAGCAGGAAGAAGCTTAGTATCTGCTCCTTCCACCATAGCCCCCACTTCCTCCACTTCCTCCAGGACCATAGTTTCCTATAATGATTGAAAGAAGCAAGAAACATGCTTAGTACATGTTGGCAACTTAAGTTTTCTTCTGGTCTTATGACAGAGGGTCTCTAACTGCATGTAGCCAGCCTTGCTAGGAGTGATGGGATTAAAGGCATGTGAAATGTGACAGACACCATCTTAAGCTTACTACTTTTAATTAAACACAAGCCGCCTGATTTGTCTTAAAATTGGAACAAAAATTTTAAAAGCCTCAATAAGCTAAATGAAGAGCAAATACTGTACTTTGAGACATGGTTTCATATGAAGGACAAGGGCAACCCTGAAAAGGTGATCTTTCTGCCTCCATTTCCCCTTTGGCAGGATTAATAGCACTAGTAACTTTTTCACCTACCTTAACTGGGCATGGTGGACTTAGACTACATACTGTCTAAAAACAATGCCATTCCTACCCACCAGCAAAAATAAATCCACTTAACATTACTGCCTGAATAACCTAACAGTACCTATCAGATTGACTTCTATTCCCCCCGCCCCAATAAACCATCTAGCAGAATCCAAAGTCTTTAGTAAATTTTACCTCCACCATATGGTCCTCCCATGTTCCTGCTACCACCAAAATTTCCACTCTTCATTGGACCATAGTTAGAAGGTTGCTGGTTATAATTTCCAAAATCATTGTAATTTCCACTTCCATAATTCCCTGTAAAATAATTAAATACCAGCTAACAGACCTTTGGAAAACACAAGCATCGAACTAAAACTAATGTTTAGCTTTGAGGACAAATGTTCTACAAAAATAAACTTATTACACCTAACTACAATCCTACAATTTAAAGCATCTAATTGACAATAAAAATAAATGTCATTAATTCTAATCCAAATTCCAACATAAAGGTTGTAGATGAATTTATTACCTCCTCCATAGTTGTCATAACCACCTCCGTAGCCCCCACCCTGGTTGCCATATCCAGGTCCTCCACCACCATATCCTCCTCTTCCTCCTCCATAACCAGGGCTACCTCCAAAATTGCCACCTATTATAAAATAAGCCTTTAAGTAATTGCTTAAATCTCAATTCCATTTGAATTGTCTATTACACTCATTTGTTTTTTCAAAAACACATAACTTTTAAAGATGAATTATTTGCTACATAAAATCTATTCTAGACTAAACATATTCACCATCTAGGGTACAAACCACTATATAAAGTAACTTACAATAACCGGTAATAACACAACTCTCCTTTGAACGAGAAAATATTTAAAACTTGTGTTTCTAGTTTGAGGAAGAAATACAGGGGTAGCATGCCAGTAGTTTTATAAACTCTGGCAGGCTGATCACCAGCACTAAGAACTCAATATATAACCCCTCTAGCACCATGACCTCATATTCAAATACTCTTGGCTTTTTAGCAAGTATATAAAACTCCTAAAATGGAACTTTACACTGTACTGTAGTTACACAGGCATATTGTTTAGTAACAACTCTAAATGCATTTTTAAAGTCAAATAACCACTATCACCCAAATACTGACAGGCAAGCGTGATATACATATTTAACCAAGCACTAAATACAATGCTATTTAAATATATTAAGATACATAAATCAAACTAAAAAAACTGACCTCCAGGTCCTCCTCCATACCCATTATAGCCGTCCCCAAATCCACGTCCACTACCGTATCCATCTGTTAAAAAAAAAAAAAACACCACAGCCAAGTTAGTTATTTTTCTCTACACTATCTACTAGCATCTCGGAATAAGGATGACCGATAATGTTGCAAGTTTACTCATGGGGGAAAACCATCAAAGCATGGTAATTCCACTCCACATATCACTTTTATAAATATAGGTTTGGACCCAGAAAGCCTTATTTAACTTTAAAAGCAAAAATGGTTTTTCTTTCTTTTTTTGGTATTTTCAGACAGTGCTTCTCTGTGTAGCCTTGGTTGTCCTGGACTCACTTTGTAGACCAGGCTGTCCTCCAACTCTGAGATCCACCTGCCTCTGCTTCCCAGGGTGTTAGGACTAAAGGTGTACACCACTAGGCCCATTTATGTTTTTAATATGAAGGACTGAAAGTATTTAGCACCAAATTTTAAGGAAAATCTCACTACAATCATTCATTGAAACAGAAACACATTAAAAAGGAATAATCTTATCGATTCAATCTTTTGACAGACATATATAGCCTAACCTAGTCTTGAATTCTACATATATGTATGTACGTGGCTCAGGATGACTTTTACCTTCTAATCCTGCTACCTCTTGTTCCCAAGTACTGAAGCATTAAGTTTTCATAACTGGTTTTTAGGTGCTAGTCTAAACCCTGCTAATGTCTGCCTGCATCTAAAAGCACTTTATTAAAAACTGAGTACATCACACCTTTCAAAAGACTCAAAACACAAACTTACCAGACCCCCCCCTAAAGTTGCTTCCTGGTCCAGGTCCAAAATTGCCACCGCCACCACGAGAATCTCCAAAACCAAAGTTACCTAGGACATATGTTCTAATTAGTAGCAAGCACTCAGACAAACAATCATATATACACATATAAATGTAATTTGTTACCTCCTCTTCCACTCCTAGAACTTTGGACCTCCTGCATTTCTTGTCTAGACAATGCCTTTCTAACTTCTGCATTGTGACCATTGATGGTGTGGTATTTTTGCACTGGAACAAAAAATTGACAACCATTATCAACACTTTCTAACAAGGAATCCAAACAGAATAGATAGTAATATATCCCATATTTTATATACAAACCACACCTCATGCACCTAGACACTTACATACAATTTTATCCACAGGATCATGGTCATCAAAAGTAACAAAACCAAAGCCTCTTTTCTTTCCAGACTGTCTATCAGTAATTATTTCAATAGTATCAATTTTTCCATATTCCTCAAAGTAATCTCTAAGATGGTGTTCCTCAGTATCTTCTTTAATTCCACCAACAAACAGCTTCTTCACAGTCACATGGGCTCCTGGTTTTCCAGACTCCTGTAACAGATGACCAAGTTACCCTGACAGATAAACAATTTACAGCACATCAAAATGAACACACCTTATGTAGGACAAATTCCTCCAGATACAGCAATAGGTTTAAAGAGGCTAGTCTCAGAAATACAATTACAAAAAAAAAAAAAAGCTATCATTTAAAAACAGAAAAAAAAAAAAAAACCCACAACAATCCAATGTGCTTCACTCACCTCTCTCGCTACAGCACGTTTTGGCTCAACTACCCTTCCATCAATGGAATGAGGCCTTGCAGCCATGGCAGCATCAACCTCAGCCATGGATGAGAAAGTTACAAAGCCAAATCCTCTTGATCTTTTGCTTGCAGGATCCCTCATAACCTTTAAAACCAAAGAAGATGTTAGCATCTAATTTCATGTGTTATGTACTAGTAATACCAACCAGTAAGTCTTTAACACTAACTTTCTTCAATATGATTAACCACCCAAAATATATGCATAAGAACTACAATCTCTACCCAGACTTTCAGAGTTAACGTACCACACAGTCTGTGAGCTTTCCCCATTGCTCATAGTAGTTTCTCAAACTTTCTTCTGTGGTTTCAAAGCTTAAGCCACCAATAAAGAGTTTACGGAACTGTTCCTTTTCTCTCTGCAAAGGAAAATATCATTTCAATTTTTATTCACATTTCCTCTTCGTATGCAGGAAATTAAATTCTTAAATATGAGGTGACCTGCTGGCAGAGTACCTTTTTCCTCTCCAAAGGAACAGTTTCTAAAGTTTTCTGGGGGGGAAAAAAAAAACTTACATCAAATTTAAACCATATGTTAAACTGCATATTAGTTGTGTTACACCAAAAATTGCCTCAGCTGAACTACACAAATTTCAAAATCATTAAAACCTGATCTAACTTTAATTGACAAATTATTTTAATCTTATCAGACTTCAAAAACATCATACCCAACTCTGTGGTCACTTAAGCTGTATTAAAGAATTCTTTTGAAATTTTTCATTAAATTCTACAACCCAAACACAGAATTTTACTCATACTGTGTTTAAAAAGAAAAAAAAAAGGTAGCTCCTGTTTTCAAATTTGCCAGTTCAGGATTCAGCTTCTGAAAGCTGCATATTTGCTTTTCCTTAAACTGCCCCCTCTGGTGTTAATTGTAAGTATCTCAAGGGGGAGGAGGGAATCCTCCAACTCTGATTCAAGCTCCAAGTTGAAAACTCCAGATAATACATACCACCTTAAAATAGTTTTCTTAGAAAAATTTAGTCCTGTAGCCATCACCATCTAAAGTTCCAAAGGTTTACTGTGATTGTGGCCAGCACTTACACATTTTTCAGGCTGGAGCACAATCTAACAAGCACACATTGTTATCCACCACTCCAAATTCACTTTTAAAGGTTACTGTTTACTAAAGGAGCTTAACTTGCTCAATTTAGCGGCTATCTGATACACTACGGATGAAATGGTTCTCTTAAAAAATTTAAGTAAAAAAGTCTGATTATCTCACTATTTGGAAAATGGCAAGCTAATGTAATGCATTAAACACCCATTACTTCGGGACAAGTGAAGACACACTGTTTATTACTGTCTTACCAATAACTAAGCTACAAAAATATCAAGATGTTCCTAAATTAGATCATACTAGCCAGGATATATTGTGATTGCCTAAGCAGTAGAAAATTTAAATTACAAAAAAAAAAAAAATAAAAAAAAAAAATAAATTCATTACTGCTCAACCCAAACTTTACAAGGTTCTTCAAAATACTTTTAAAAAAGTATTTTTTATGCCTATTACAATCTTTACGTTTCAAAATTTGAAGAAAAATAAAAATGAGCAAAATACGTTGTTTGTAACGGAATAACGTTTCAAATGCCTTTTTAATTACTTAGCATGACTGCAAATGGAGTTTCGAGGTAATTCTTCTTGTCAGCAAATACGCCTCCCTAAATCTAAATTGCAAATATAAAATTCACCTACAAATTTCTTCATATCACCAACAAAAAGCAAAAGCTCATTACTTACCTCAGTTTTTTCCAAACTTACCCGACGTCCACTATCGATTATAAACAAGGTTATTTTATAAACGTGCTTAGGGTCAAAGAAATAACCAATAACCCTCAAACTTAAAACCTTATTCTTATCAATGATCAGCCATGATTGCAAAAAAAAAAAAAAATCAGAAAACTAAATGACAAAGTTCAAGACATTGTGGCCCAGAACTGTTTTTATGTACCTACTACATGGATAATGTTCACTGATTCATGCTTCAACCAACCATTAACTATGAAGTCAATTTCCTTAACATGGCCACCACGTGTTAAGGAGCCGCTTGTTTAACCAAAAATCCTAGCTTCCCTTAAAAATAATCGCGAACAGAAAGATCCTTTAGGATAATAAACATATCCTAAAATAAAATAAAAAAAAAAAAAGAAAATCTCCGCCCAAGATAACAGAGCACCCCTAATGACCACGGACGAGCCCCCCCACCCCGATTTTTCCATGAGGAAGGTCCTGCTCACAAATCCCTTAAACGAGCTAAGGGCTAAGAAAAACCGAACGTTTCTGTGCAGCAAGGCTCTTCGTCAAGCGCCCCGGGCCTTGGCGGCACTACGTTCTCCTGGCCCGCGCCAGGGCGGCTCGCGCGGCGCCCCCCCCCCCCCCCGCTCTTCTGTGTGGCTTCTCAACGCAATGGCGCCATTTCATCGAGGGGAAGGCAGAGCGCCTGTAACGAGGTGCGCAGGACTCTTAGAGATCAAGCTCAAAACACTCGAAATCCACCTCGGGGCGGTAGGAAAACATCCCGAAAAGAAAGAGCAGTCATTAGCCACTCGGACGCGGCGGTCGAGAGAGCAATCCAGCGGCCCCGAGGGCTGGTGGAAGCAAAACCTCTGCGAGGAAGGAGACGGGAAAATGGCGGCCGCCGAATCCGGTTCCCGGGAGGCTGGGGGAGGGGCGCTCCGCGGGCCGGCTCCGGGGCCCCCGGCGGCCCCCGGACGTTCCGCCGCGAACACCCCCGGCCCTCGGGCCCGCGCACACCGCCCGGGGACCACGACGGCCCGCTCCCGAGCCCCCCGAGCAGGCCGGCCGCGCCGCGGCCGCCGGGCCCCATCCCCCACCCCGGCTGAGGGAAATGGCGCCCGGCGGCCGAGGGCGGGGAAGGCGCTCGGACAATCGGGCCTCCGCCGGCGCTCCCCGACCCCGTCCCCGAGGCCAACCGCCGCTCGGGCGGCCGCTTTCCCCCCGCCCGGCCTCGGAGGCGGACGGCCGGCTTCCACGGCGGCGCCTGCGGCCTCGCCATGCCCTCTCCCATGAACTCATTGATTTCAGACCCGTTACCTCCATCGCGGACTCAGTCGCTTCAGCCCGATTTCCCGCAGCCGAGCGAGATGAGAAAGACCTCCGCGGACGCACACGCACGGGACTCGTCCTGACGCTGGGGGGAGAGCAGCCGCCGCTCGAGAAACTGCGCCGCTCGGAGCACCTGCACACAGGACCCGGCGCCGCTGCTTACTGCCGCTGGGGCCGGGACCGCCGCTTTTCTAGAACCTTCCCCCCACTAACGCGTCCCCGCTGACGTCAGGCCGTTACGTAAACGTCCTAACCGCCGCCAATGGCGGGAAGGCGCCACACGCCCCTTACGCCAAGTGCGTGCTCCTCCCCCCCCGGGGATAGCGGGGAGGCTTTACATCACTTGCGCAACTGCCTTCAGTGAATTGCGGAGGGCTCGCGGCCGGCGTGTCACTACGCCCGCAACGAGGTCCGGCCCCCACCTCGGCGCAGGGAGCCGAGAAACGGTCGCGCAGTTTGAAATTAACGCCGGCAGGCGGGGCCTGAGCCGCAGCGCAGGCGGCCGGCCCTCTCCGCCCCAGCGCGCTCCCCGCAGCTACGCCTTCGCCCGTCCCATCTCCGGCTCCTCGAGCCACACAAACCCCTGTGCCCGGCCCAAGGGGTGCGGGCTCGGCCCCGCCCGGAGGGACCTGAAGCCCCAAGCACGACACGCGCTGGCCCCCGCCCCGAAGGCCCCGGGCGAGGAGGTGGGCGGAGCCCAGCGTTGGCGCGCTGGGCGACGCAGGGAGAAAGAGAGCGAGGCCTCCGCAGTCCCGCCGGACGCCCCCCTCCCGCAGGAGACCCCCCCGCGGGCGCCACGCTGCGGACGGTGAGTGGCGCGCGCGCCGCCCCCCGCAGGCCGCGTTCCCGGCGGGCCCCGCGCGGCCCGGGCGTGGGCGGTGCCTCCCCTCCCCCCCGCCTCTCGGCCGAGCTGCCCGCGCGCCCCCTCCCCTCGGATGTGGCTGAGCTGCAGCGCGCAGCCGGGAGACTCTGCAGGATCCGCGGCCCTGGGCGTCTGAACGGTGAAGTCGGTGGCTTGCTCTCTCCATTGCGGCGCGCGGCGGTCGGGGTCAGGATGCTCTGTGCGCCTGGGCTGGCGGGGGAAGGCTGCGGGCCCCGCGCTCCGTCCCGGGCCGCGGCCAGGCCGGCGGGGCCTTTCGCCGCGACGCCGCGCCACTGCCCGGGGACGTCGTGGTGTCGCGCGAGAGGGTGGGAGCCGGGGGACAGCTGCCGAGGCTCCAGACAAAGCGCGGGCCTCCCCTCCCCCCGCCGCGCGGCGGGCCCGCGGGGAGCGCGGCCGGGGCCGTGCGGCCGCGAGGCCTGAGGCCTGGGCCCGGGGCGCGCTCGCCGCTACGTGGCCGCCGCCGGAGGGGGAGGCGCGGGCTCGTGGCGCAGTGCCCTTGAGCCCCCGCTGCCGCCTTTGTTTCCCCCCGCGGACGCCCTGGCCACGAGGCCCGCGCTCCCGAGTGGGGGGCGGGCTCCCGGCCTGGGCCTCCGGACGTGGGAATCGAGCAGGGAAGGGGTCCTCTTCGAAGGGGAGCGGCCGTGGAGGAGGTCAATTCCTTTTAGCTTTATCAGGACAGTATTTGGAGGGGCTTGAGGCAGGAGGATTGCACGGAGTTGAAGCCCCGACTGGACTATAGAGAGTGATACTCCCCCACCACCACCAAATGGCCAGGAAATAGTACTGAGACATCGTAGTGTTTTTCTTTTTACATCTTGATTGATGAGGGAGGGCTTTTGAAAAAAATCAGGATGGAATTATAGAGGAGCTACTTGGACTATTCATAAATCTAGAGAAAAAAATTCTTAACGGTAATTTAGCAATATAAGTTAATTAAATAGTCAGAAGCTTGTCTTTCATACAAACTAAAACATTAAAGTTGTTGAAATAAGCCTTAGATTGAAAAGTGATCACCAAGTAAGGCGGTCTGAGGTGCCAGTGCGTCTGGTAAGGTATCTTTCCTGACTTGGTGAAATCACTGTCGTACTCAGGTTTGTTAACACTAATAGCATAGGAACCGAACTGCTTCCCTGCATTTTTACCTGAAATGTGCAAGTTGAAATCCACACAAAACTTGCAGTTGCCTTTTGTGTGTCGTGAAAATTTAACTCTCCTACATTTTTTTCTTGCAATAGCTCTTCAAATCTCCGATTTAAAAAAAAAAATGGCCTCCAATAAAACTACATTGGTAAGTTTGTGAAAACATAAAATCTGTAAGAAATTTAATTGAAGGATTTTTTTTTTTCTTTAAATAAAAATTACAACTAAGAAGCCATGTGGTGGTGGCCCACACCTTTATTCTGACACAGGAGGCAGAGGCTGGCACATCTCTGAGTTAGAGGCCAGCCTGGTCTGCAGAGTGAGTTACATGACAGTCAGAGCTACGCAGAGAAACCCTGTTGGGGGCTTGGGAGAGTTATAAATCAGTCAGGACATGATTTGGGTGCACCTTTAATCCCAGCAGAGGCAGGTGAATTGCATCCATGCACTTGTCAGCACTCCAAAGAAAAACTGAGTTGTTAATTTTGAAGTGTTCTTGGCTTTCCTTAAGAAGGGTCACAATGCATTTTTTTTTTTTAAATCTAATCTTAGGAGTACTGCATAGTACAGCTTTCTCTGGGTGCTTTTGTTTTGAGATTTAAAATGCATGTTTGGGTATGGTGAGGTGGCTAGATTTCACAAGATTGTTTCTGATTTCCACACAGGTGCTGCTCACCACCCATAATACAGTCTTGTTGATTGGCCTGATTACCCTTTAAGTCTGTGCTGAGTTGTAGAGATACGAAGTGTTCAGAATTTTCGAAGATATATTGTGTACTTAGAGTGATCAGATACAGCTGCATTGTGTTACCAGGATCAAGAATTACAGACTATGTCTAGGAACTGAAGCAGTGGATCAATTCTTGTTTCTTTTAAGCAGTTTCCAGACTGTTGCTAAACCCAATGTTTGTATTCTAGGTTTTCTAGCAAGTTAGGCAAAGTTAGAAGGCCATGTTTATTTTTGTCAAATTAAATTTTTAAAAGGCTTAAAACTGGGTTAGGCAGGCGGTGGTGGCACACACCTTTAATCCCAGCACTCCAGAGACAGAGGCAGGTGATCTGGATCTCTGTGAGTTCAAGGACAGCCTGGTCTACATAGAGAAACCCTGGGTCTGAAGGTGTATGTTTGTAATCCCAGCCTGTGAGAGGCTGAGGCAAGCAGATTGCCTTGAGTTTGAGGCAGTTCTAAAATACTAGGTAGTCAGGGCTGCATGGCAAAACCTGTCTGGAAAGAGATTTATATAAGAAAATAAAATTTACAAGTGGCCTGTGGTAGCACACACCTTTAGTTTCACCACTCAGGGAGGCAGATAGGCTCATCTCAGAGCTAGAGGCCAGCCTGGTCTACAAAGTGAGTCCAGGACAGCCAAGGCTACACAGAGAAACCCTTTCTAAAAAAAAAAAAAAAGACATTTACAGTTATGGTTCTACAATAATTCTGACACATTGATCACAAGCTTATGAAGGCGGGCATTAATGCAGAACATAGGTTTTGATCCTTGAGTTCTGACCAATTTGTGACATCATTATAGCATACATGACTTCAACTCCTCTTCAGAGCAAACTAGATCTGAAGCCTTTCTGTTCACTTATAGAAGACCAAGTACAGGCTAAAGCCTTAAGTGATAAAAGCAGGTCATCTGGCAAATTCCATAAGGTATTGTTAGCGTGGATATGCCCTTATATGCTGACAGGTTTAACTGTCCTAGTGGTCTTGAGGTATTGCTGCTGATGTTTCCTGTGTGGATCCTTCTTTTGGTAGATGGTATGAGGGGCTGGGCCTTTAAGGGTTTTTTGTTTTGATTTGATTGGAGTCCTGTGAATTTTTTAAGTAACACCTGTAGTTATGCATGGTGATGCATGCATACAGTCTCAGCATCTGGTGAGGCTGAGTCTGGAGGATCACAGCAAATTAAAGGCTAGACTGGGCTAGTATCTCAAAATTTTTAAAGGACAGATAGTACTGTTGTGGAGATGAGGTGATTTGAGCATACTCTATTGGGTTATTTTGGTATTCCATGGGGACTGCTTTCTAATTAACCATTTCAGGGTTTTTAAAACACCTAGTTTCACTTTAACAAATCTGCTTGGAAAACAACTCATAAATAATGTTATTCCTACTCATCTCCCCAAAAAAGAAAAAGCACTTTTCTTGTTATCTGGGACAAGGTTTTCCTCCATAGCCCAGGTCTGGACCCATGGTAACAGCCAATTTCGATTTCCTGGGTGCTACTAGTTTGCTTGTCATGCCTGCCTTGTGCTCCTCTTTCAAAAATAAACTGAGCTGGCATCCAGTTAAGATTCTAGGTTGATAACCCAGGGAGGAAGTAATTTGTCTCCCACTAGAGGAAATAAACCAGCATTTTAGACTCTTGAAAGTAACAGTATTTTGGGTTTATTTGAGTGGTCAGGAAAATTATCTATATGTGATAATTATGGTCTCCGTCATTGAGCCTATAGTTGATTTTGCAGTTAATTTGGTCTTTGGGACTTGGTTTTAAACTGATGATGCTGGGAGAGGAATGTCTTGGAGCTGGGTTTCTAATAGATCTACTCTGCTGCATTTAGTACTTCACTTAATGGGGTGTGGTCAGTCCCACCTGTAAACCCCGGGCTTGGGGCACACACTTTGGAGGATGGCATGCTCAGGCTCCTCTTGCCTACAGAGTGAACTGGAAGCCACCCTGGGCTCCATGAGACCCTGTCTTGGCTGTTTTGTTGTTGTTTTTAACTATCACACTTAGGTTTTGGTTGCTTTTTTATTGCTGTGATAATGACCATAACCGAGGCCACTTACAGAAGAGTTTATTGAGGTTTATAGTTTAAGAGGGTGAGTCCCATGACCATCCTGGTGAGAAGATGGCAGCAGGTATAGCAAGCACTGAAGCAGTAGCTAAGAGGTTGCATTTGCTCCACAAGCACAAGGCAGAGCTAAATGGAAATGACGCTGGACTTTGAAGCCTCTAAGCACCGACTCATCCCCCCTCTCTCATCCCCCTCCAGTGACATGCCTTGTCCAAAAGGCCACACAATCCTTAAATAGTTCTACCATCTGGGGACCAACCATTCCAGTAATATGGCCTACAGAGGCCGTTCTCATTCAAACCACAACTACTAATATTTATTCCATTCTCTATCATTATCTAATGTTTTCTAGTTATTTGTCACTTTGTTGTGATAAAATGAGTGGTAATTCTGATAAACTAGAATCCTGGAAATCTGAAATTCTAAATTGTTTCTCAGGTGGTATATTTTTTAAAAATAATTCTGTCATGCTGTTGAAGGGTATTGGGTTATAAGTGTAAATCAGTGCAGCAAAGCTTTTGTATTGACTTTCTAGGAGGGTCCTACCCTGATCACAAAGTTTAAAGGGTTGGAGGGTTAAATAGTAAAAATAAAAAAAAAAAAAAAATGTGTCAGATAAACAATTTGGCCTTAAAATGTACTCAAGTTTTAAATTTTTCTTAATTTCTCTTTTGTTTTAGCAAAAAATGGGAAAGAAACAGAATGGGAAGAGTAAAAAAGTTGAAGAGGCAGAGCCTGAAGAATTTGTGGTAGAAAAAGTGCTGGACCGTCGTGTAGTGAATGGGAAGGTGGAGTATTTCCTGAAGTGGAAGGGGTTCACAGAGTAAGAAACCTCAGTACTTCTTATGGTTCTGTTGTGTTGAGCCAGGGTGTCTCATGTAGCACAGGCTAGCCTCGGACTCCTGTCCCTCCCCTCAGGTGCTGGAATTATGTGTGTTCACTTGGCCTCACTTTTTTGTTCTGTTGAGACAAGGTCTCAGGAATGCCAAGCTGGTCTTGAACTTGCTTTATAGCCAAGGATAACCTTAAACTCTGGCTCCACCACCCCCTGCATAGGCATGCACCACCACATGCCTATTTCTGTGGTCCAGAGGGTTGAACCCAGGGATCTTGTGTGTGCTTGGCCAGCACTCTTTATTATACTGAGAATAGCCTTCAGCTTGACTGTTAGCATAAATATCTTACCAGTTTGCCCAGAGATCTGTTTGAAGCCAGTTTTGATTGCAGAATTATCTTGTCTGAGATTTATTTAGGTCTTCGGGGGTTGGGAGAGATGATTTGGTGGTTAAGAGTATTTGTTCTTATGAAGGACCAGATTCAATTCCCAGAACCCACGTGGTGCCTCATAATTGTCCATAACTCAAATCCCAAGGTGTCCAGTGCCACCTCTAACCTCTAAAAGTATCAGGTTACATATGCGATCCCAAATGCGAGCTTACTTGCAAGGAAGAACTTTCATACCCTTAAAAAGTTAAGATTTTAAAAAAAATTAGTAGTTGAAACCTAGCATATTAGAGTTTAATTTATTGCTATGAGTCAAACTTAGAAAACTAAAGTTCACTGAAGCATTAACTTTTAAACCAGCATGCAAAGGATTAAATGTCATATTTTTTTTTCATTATGACATTTTTAAACAGTGTATTGTAATGGATTCTCCTTTCCTTTCATCTCTTCCACCTCCTACCCCATGCTTTTATCTTCATGTCCTAATGTGTTCTTTCAGTAAAGCATTATAATGTATTAAACATGTACTAATTGTAGTATCTATGGCTAAGAGTCTAACATGCTCCGTATCATATTTATAATACAGAAGACAATACTGAAAATAACACTAAATAGGAGGCATCAGCCCTCCTCCCAAAATTAAACTTTGCCAGTCTTATAGTCTGAAGATATCAGTAGGCCAAGTCTGCTATTAATGGCACCATTCCTCACGTCATTTGGTGCCAGCTCGTATTTGTGACTACTTTCGGCTTTGTGGACCACTGATCTGTCTTTACCACCTCTGCATGAGTAGCAGCAGTGGATGCTGCATTAAGTGTGCATGGCTGTTCCAGTGACAACTATGAACTCTGCAATTAAAATTTTATTTTTATTTCCTCCAAATGCTCCCCCTTTTTTTTCTTTAAAAAAAAAAAAATTTGGCCTGAGCATTGTACAATCTGTAGTCCCAGCATTGTGGAAGCTGAAGCAGGGTTGGAGGCTAACCTAGCCTACATAGTGAAGCTGTATCTTTAAAAGAACAGGGAAAAGTAGTTTTGATGCTTTATAAGCCATACAGCAGGCGAGGTGCCGCTTAGTTTCGCCTTTATATCATTTCTCAAGTTGCGTACGAACCACAAACTGAATGTTACACGTTTGAGAATATCTCAGCCAGGGCTGTGGTGGTGCACACCTGTAATCCCAGCACCTCGGGAGGCAGAGGCAGGCGGAGCTCTGCAAATTTAAGGTCAGCCTGGTCTCCAGAGGGAGTCCAGGACAGCCAGGCCACTATAATCTTGGTGCTAGAGTTCACAGCCTATAGTACATGTGACCGATTGGGGAGTGCTTGCCGGGAGTGCACAAGTCCTTGGGTTTGCTCCCCAGTGCCAAGTACACTGCCTGTGAGAGAAAATGCAGACAGAAGGATCAGAACCGGGTTACATAAAAAGTTCGAGGCCAACTAGGGTTACATAAAGTGAGCTGTTTATGGAACAGAAAAATACTAGTATTCAACTGCCTTTGGGGTAAAGTAGCAGATTGTCACTTAAGAATTTAGACGTTTTTAAAATAGAAGGGCATTCTTTTCTGTTACTATTCTCCTAGTTTTAGTGTTTGTCATATGGAAACTTTTTCCAGATAGTTATAAACAGGTCTAGGTAATGGCAATGTTTAATTGAATCAACTTTTTGTTTCCTTTAACTGAACACAGTGCTGATAATACTTGGGAACCAGAAGAAAATTTAGATTGTCCAGAATTAATTGAAGCATTTCTTAATTCTCAAAAAGCTGGTAAAGAAAAAGATGGTACAAAAAGAAAATCTTTATCTGACAGTGAATCTGATGATAGCAAATCGAAGAAGAAAAGAGATGCTGTAAGTATAACTGCTGGTTAGACTGGGTCTTGTCAGAAGTTGATAAAACTTGAATTTTAATCACTTTGACTTTTTTTTTTTTCTTTTTTTAGCTAGAATTTTCTTTTACTCATATTTTGTTCTTTATGTTAGCATTCAAAATAATGAGTTTCATTGTGGTTATTTTCATACATGGTTACCATTATATTTTGTTCTACTTAATCTACCTGTCCTTTCCCCTCTCTGGCTAGTTTCCTTTTGAAGGGTGGGTTTGAGGCAAGGTCTCAAGTATCAGAGAGTGGCCTTGAACCACTCATTATGTTTCCTATGACTTCTGCTTAAAAAGGAGAATAGAAGAGGTATTTTAGAGACAGGGTTTCTCAGTGTAGCTCTGCCTGGCTTCAGAGTCAGAAATCTGCCTGCCTTTGCCTCTTAAGTGCTGGGATTAAAGTCATGTGCCATCATGCCCAACTAAAACTAGAATACTTCTTGTGTGGGGTGTTTTCCCTCCATATACATATGTCTGTGTACCACATGCATGTTTGGTGTCCCCAGAAGCTAGAGTAGAGGAAGGTATCAGATAGCTCTGGGCTGAAATTACAGGTGGTTGTGAGCTACCATTGTAGGTGCTGAATTCAGATTCTTTGTTAGTGGAGCAAATGCATCTAGCCGCTCTAGCCCCTAGAGTGCTTTTAAATTCAGTTAAGAAAAAGAAAGAAACCTTTTACAGAGCCAGGCACAGGTGGCAAAAATATGGTATCCTCTACCCTTGCCTTTAAACAGATTGTATTTACCCTGTCTCTTGGCCTAGTATGATAATTGGAGGAAAGGTGTTGGAACTGAATTAGGCTCATACTCAAAGCATTCAGCACACATTTAATTGGTAAAAGACTGTGGGTTTCAGATGTGGTCATTTGAACTAGGTATCAATAACTTTGCACATAGGACATTAAATCTTAATGCCTACATTGTTAAGTCTAGGTAATGATCCAATTGTATAGATGAGAAAAGATTGATGGAGATCTGAAAGTAAAGTGTATGTATAAGGGAAGCAGAACTTGAGCCAGCGGTATTCTAAAAGGCCTACTTTATATTGAAACACTACCAAAAACCAATCCCATAGGTACTAATTGGTTTTGATAAATAATAAGCCTGAACCACAAAGCTTAATTAACTTAACCCAAACCCACAGAGCTAAAGAGCTAGATTGGTATTCTAACCCAGATAGTCTGACTTTAGAGCCTGGTTACACTGATGTGAAACTAGTAATATTAGTTTACTGATAATTTTCGATTATTAAATATTTACACTCTGGAGTTGTGTAGGCTGTAATTACCAATATTTTTTGTTTTAGAAATTGAAAAATAGCCAGGTGTGGGGCGTGGCTTTAGTCCCAGTACTGGGGAGGCAGAGGCAGGCAGGTCTCTGAGTTCCAGACCAGCCTGGTGTACATAGTGAGACCCTTTGTGGTATCTGGGACTAAGGGGAAGATCAACAACTTTAGGGCAAGAACTGGGTCAGCAGTTAAGAGCACGTGCTGCTCTTCCAGAGGACCGACCCATTTGGTTCCCAGCACCCACTCGGGGCTCACAACAGTCTGGTAACTCCGATTGCAGAGGATCCAGCACCTTTTTGTATTCTGGAGGCACCAAGCAGACACATGGTGCACAGACATACATGTAGGTAAAACACTGAAACACATAAATCTTTTTTAACGATAACAGATTTCAAGTACTAGTAGTTAAGGAACATGGACTACTCTTATAGAAACCCCCAAGCTCAGATTCTAGCACCTTGTAAGCACTCAGAATTGTCTGTAACTCCAGCTCCAGGGGATTCAACGCCCTCTCTGCCCTCCGAAAGATACATATAACTTTAAAAGTAAATGACACCAAAAGAAAAAACTAAATAATAGTAGTTTAAGTACAGAACTGATTGGAAATTGGGTAGACCGGCATTCACCTGTAATCCCAACACTCAGGTGGATTCAAGGTCATTAGCTGTATAGTAAGCCTTGCCTACAATAAGAACCTATCTTTAAAAAACAAAAATTTTATACAAATACGTACAAGCATGCATATAGATAAAACAAACCTATTGGGTGTTAAGCATGTTGTGATAGAGAGGATTTTCTCTAATGTCTACTCTAAGGAGGTCGGGCTGGCCATGCTGGTTCATACGTATAATCCCAGCATACTTAGGTAAGAAAAATGCTTTGAGACTTTGAAGCTAGCTAGGCTTCAGAAAATTTGTCTCCAAAATAAGGTAATTATGTTTTGAGACTGTTTCATATAGCCCAGGCTAGCCTTTAACACCCTGATCCTCTAGCCTCCATCTACCAAGTACTGGATCAATCCCAGGGCTTCATGGCACCATGTGTGGCTTGCTGTGATACCACTCATGTATGAAATGTTTTAGGAGAAATGTGTAAAGACAATCACAAGTCATATAACTCAAAATAGACCTAATAACTTTTTTTTTTTTTTTTTTTTTGAAGGGTCTCTGCATAGCCCTAGCTGTCCTAAAACTCGCTCTATAGACCAGGCTCGCCTCAAACTCAGAGATCCACCTGCCTCTGCCTCCAGAGTGCTGGAATTAAAGGCTTGCATCACCATGTGCAGCAATAATAACTAATATTCCCTTTAAAATGTTAATATGGGATCTTCTGAGTACATGTATTTGTGCAGCTATCACAGAAGTCAGAAGAGGGAGTCCCCAAACTGGAGTTAGAGGAGGTTGTAAGCCATCATGTGGGTGCTGAAAATTGAACCCAGGTTCTCTATAAGAGCAAGTGCTCTTAACTGCTGAGCCATCTCTTCAGCCCCTTGGGGCCTTTTTATATGTATACTTTTTAGGCCATCTTGCTATGTGGCCCAGGGTACACTTAAACTTACAGTCTTCCTTAGTACTGAGATTATTATAAGTGGCTGAATATTTATTTACTTGTTTCTGTTTTTCATTGGCGGAGTGGTTCTTGGTCAAGTTTCACTATAAATAGCCCAGACTAGCCTTGAACTTACTCTGTCTCTACCTCTAAAGTGCTAGGTTTATAGGCTTTTAAATTTAATTTTCAAGAGTGTGTAATTGCTTAGTATGTTGTTGCATACTGTTCTAATGGTCAAGGAATTAAAGCAGGAGAGTTGAAACTTTGAGACTAATGTGGGCTACATAGTAAGATTTTTTTTTTTTTTTTATCTTATTTATTTTTATTAAGAAATGGTCTTCTCTAACCCAGGCTTAATCTTAACTCCTGATGTTTCTGCCTCCGGCTACCAAGTGCTGAACCAAGCCCAGGATTCTTGAATACTAGACAAATACTCTACCACTAAAACTACATCTCCAGCCCTAAGCATGGTGTTCTTACCAAACTTGTATACTTGTTCCTGGCTCACTGTAGGGAGTTCTGATGAAAGTTGCATTTCATAAAGAATGTTTAATGTTATTTGTTGTGTGGAAATATTTATTCAGTCTGTTACTTAACCCCCTATAAACAGGCTGACAAACCAAGGGGCTTTGCTAGAGGTCTTGATCCTGAACGAATAATCGGTGCCACAGATAGCAGTGGAGAATTAATGTTTCTCATGAAATGGTAAGTGCAAAGGTAATTATTTTTGCTGGATTTTTTGTTTGTTTTGTTTCACTTTTGCTGTGTGTACATGCATAATGGGAAGGGGAGTGGGTGTGCCATGGTGCATGTTAGGAGAGCTTTGAGGGGTCCGTTCTCCACCTGGGTGTGATTCAGAACCTGCCAAATGTCTTCACCTGCTTAGCCATCTTACTGGCCCTCAGTACCATTTAAAGTAAATATGAAAGGATGGGTACATTCATTGGTTAGGGATGGGTGTGGGAGTGTGCACGAAGGCCCGTGCACTAGGGTAATTGGGGTTGGTGGGAGATATGCAGGGTCTTAACTGTGTATTCCTGTCTGGTGTGGAGTTCTCTATGTAGACCAAGCTGGCCTCAACTCAAGAGTTCTGTCTGGCTCTGCTTCCCAAGTATGAGGATTAAAGGCCTGGGATTGGGGGCGAAGGAAGTTAATTCCGTGAAAGTTATATACAAGGGTTCTATTTATTTATTTGTTTGTAGACTTATTTAAATGTATATGAGTGCTCTGTCTACATGTACATCAGATCGCATAATAGATGGTTGTGAGCCACCATGTGGCTGCTGGGAATTAAACTCGGAACCTCTGGAAGAACAAACAGCCCCAACAAGGTTTCTTAAGTAGTTCTCATCATAAGATGGAAAGTAACTAGCTGAGCATGGTGGTTTGTGCCTTTAATCCTAGCCCTCAAGAGGTTGAGGCAGATTGCCACAGTAAGTGGAACTTAAATGCATAGCCTCTTTTGAGAGATGAAGTGTGCTTGCTTCTGCATCACATATACTAAAAATTAGAACAATACAGAGAAGATTAGCATGGCCCCTGTGCAAGGATGACACCCAAATTCGTGAAGCGTTCCATATTTTTAAAATAGATCCATATTTATCACCCTGCATAAAACTAAAGTCCAAGTGGATCAAAGACCTCAGTGTAAAACCAGATACACTAAATCGGTTAGAAGAAAAAGTGGGGAAGTGCCTAGAACTCATTGGCACAGGAGACAATCTCCTGAACAGAACACCATCAGCACAGGCTCTAAGAGCAACAATCAATAAATGAGACCTCATGAAACTGAAAAGCTTCTGTAAAGCAAAGGACCCTGTTATCAGAACAAAACAACAACCTAGAGATTGGGAAAGGATCTTGACCAACTCTACATCTGACGGAGGGCTGATATATATAAAGAACCAAAGAAGTTAAAAGGCAATAACTCAAGCAACCCAATTAAAAAATGGGGTATGGAGCTAAACAGAGAATTTTCTGTAGAAGAGTATAGAATGGCAGAGAAACAAAGAGATGCTCAACATCCTTAGCCATCAGACAGATGCAAATCAAAATGACCCTGAGATTTCACCTTACACCCATCAAAAACTCAAGTGACAACACATGCTGGAGAGGTTGTGGAGAAAGGGGAACCCTCTTCCATTGCTGGTGGGAATGTAAACTTATACAACCACTTTGGAAATCAATCTGGCGCTTTCTCAGACAATCAGGAATACTGCTACCTCAAGATCCAACTATTCCACTCGTAGGCATATATCCAAAAGATGCTCAAGTACACAACAAAGACCTTTATTCAAGCATGTTTGTAGCAGCTTTATTCGTAATAGCCAGAACCTGGAAACAACCCAGATGTCCCTTAACGGAGGAATGAATACAGAAATTGTGGTACTTTTACACAATCGAATACTACTCAGCAATCAAAGGAAATCATGAAATTTGCAGGCAAATGGTGGGATCTAGAAAAGATCATCCTGAGTGAGGTATCCCAGGAGCAGGAAGACACATATGGTCTATACTCACTTATAAGTGGGTACTAGACCTATAAGAAGATAGGATAAACATACTAAAATCTGTACACATGAAGAAGATAAACAAGAAAGAGGACCTGGGGTAAGATGATCAATCCTCACTTAGAAAGACAAATGGGAAGGACATTGGATGTAGGAGAAAACAAGTAACAGGACAGGTGCCTACCACAGAGGGCCTCTGAAAGACTCTACCTAGCAGTGTATCAAAGCAGATGCTGAGAATCAACCAAACCTTCGGCAGAGTGCAAGGAATCATATGAAAGAAGGGGGGGTGGGGTTAGTATGACCTAGAGGGGACAGGAGCCCCACAAGGACCAAATATATCAGGGCACAGGGGTCTTGACTGTTTCTCCAACCAAGGACCATTCATGGATATAAATCCCTGCTCAGATGTAGCCCATGGTAGCTCAGTACCCAAGTGGGTTCCCTAGTAAGGGGGACAAGGATTATTTCTGACATGAACTCAATGACTGGCTCATTGAGCTCCTTCCCCCCCTCCCCCCCCCTCCAAGGGAGGAGCAGCCTTGCTAGGCCACAGATAAGGACATTGCAGCCAGTCCTGAAGACGACCTGATAAGCTAGGGTCAAATGGAAGGGGAGGAGGACCTCCCCTATCAGTGGACTTGGAAGGAGGTTGGGAGGGAAAGAAGGAAGGGGCTACAGCTGGGATAGAAATGAATGATCTGTGATTAAAAATTAAATAAATAAATAGAAATGACGTTTAGTAACCACAGCTACTATGCAACCTTCTAGTAGTGCTTCCATTGATTTTTATTTAATTACTATTTATTGAATGGATCTCATTTGATGTGTACTGTTTAACCAGTTTCTTTTTCCTCACAACAGGAAGGACTCAGATGAGGCTGATTTGGTGCTGGCAAAGGAGGCGAATATGAAGTGTCCTCAGATTGTCATTGCCTTTTATGAGGAGAGGCTGACTTGGCATTCTTGTCCTGAAGATGAAGCGCAATAATTGTTTGCATTTTTATATATATTTATATATATATAAAATCTGGATCTTGGGTTTTGAATTACTAGTGTGAAAAAATAGCGTTCTAATGAAAATCAAGTTTGATATGCTGGTTTTGAAAGTATTGACAGTAGTTGGGATATTTTTGGGTTTGGTTCTGCATCAAAAGGCACTGATTCCATTGAGCAAATAAGAGCTTTCTGTAGTTGCTTCCTTTAACAATAGAATATTTGATACCATGTTGTATTTCCTCAGCCTTGAAGAACAGCTTTTCTTAAATGCTAGGGAGATTTTACAGCCAGTACTCTTATTTTTAACTGGGACGCGGAAGGACCATTCATGGTTTTTTGTTTGTATGCGTGTATATGCATAAAACACTTAGGTAACTGTTTTTTCTTTTGTCTTGTTTTTTAATACTCAAAAGAACTAGAGATGAAAATACAAGTTGATGAGATTCCATTGTTATGAACATTTTCCTGAAACCATAACCTTTCAGATTAAGCAGATTCTCTACTTACTTGGACAGTTTTTGTTGGATAGTTTAAAAGCAACCACCAGAATGTCTGTATTATCATGTGAATACAGTAGTTTATTTACAAAATTTTGTCCGTACTAACTGCCCCTTTAGAAAATGGACTTAGACAAAATAGTATGATTTAATGACAAGATTTAAGCGGAGTGTGGTGGTGCATGCTGTTAATCCCAGCACACTGGAAGCAGATGGATCTCTGATTTAGAGGCCAGCCTGGTCTGCAGAGCTCTATCTAGGTCAGCCAGGATGTGGTAAAGGCCCATCTGGTGAGCCATTCCGTTGTAGAAAGTTGAAATCGGTACTAAAAGGTTATATTTCATGGAATCTGTTTGCTGTGGAAATGGGATCATGGTTAGAGATGTTAGCAGTTTTAAAACATGCTGACATAGTGAACAAAATTTGCTAATGTCAATTAATGACTGCATGCTTTTTCTTTACCCTGACTCAGTCCTTACTGGTAGGATCAATCTTTTCAGTATTTGGTTCTGGTTTAACGAGCCAGAAAAGTAACTTTGTAGTATCAGAATGTCATCCAACTGTATATTTACTTTATTGTAAATAATGGTGAACAGTGGTCAATAAATAGTTTTATATTCCTTTATGTGATGACTTTTTTGTCATTGTCTGATTTAATTTGTAATGTGTACAGTTCAGTTTATTTTTTGAGTCAGGTCCTCTGTGTTTATGCTGTCTTTGAACAGTCTTCTCCCAGCCTTCCAAGTGCTAGGAAAGGCTTTTGCTTTGTCATTTTGATATAACCTCATATATCCCAGGTTAGGCTTAAGTTTCTGGTGTTCCTGCTTCTACCTCATGAGTACTGGGACCACAGACCTATATCAACACACATCTTAATTATATACACACGTTTATTTATTTTTGTCTGTGCTATGTAGTCCCAACAGTGACTATGCACAATGGAGAGGCCAACAGTCCTTCAGCTTCATGAAGCTGGAAGCCATCCCCTCCTGGTGCTGAAGAGAGCCACTTTTCAGTACATGTTGGGAGGCCCGAGAAGCTAGAATGTTATCGTAGCAGCAGGATAGACTAAGCCTGAAGCAGTATTTCTTTTTCCTTGTATCTCCCTCTTTGTGTCTTTTTTTTTTTTTTTTTTTTTAAGATTTATTATGTATACAATGTGTGTTTGTATGTACACCTGCACGCCAGTAGGGGGTGCCTGATTTCATTTTTAATGGTTGTAAGCCACCATGTGGTTGCTGGGAATTGAACTCATGACCTCTGGAAAAGCACCCAGTGCTCTTAACCTCAGCCATCTCTCCAGCCCCCCCCCCCCCCTTGTGCCTCTTAAGATGTTGCTTTTAATTATGTTGGACAGTGAGTGCCAGTCAGTACCTTTAGGGAATTGAGGATAACTTTGGTAACATGGAGGAGACACTGAAAAGTGAACTCGGGTTATCTGGAGGCACAGAAAGTATTTCTCACTGCTGATCTGTCCATCTCTTCATCCCACCTAGGACTTCTTTATACCTGGATCACTGTTGGAAGGACTGCCCACTCTAGGGAGAGTCTTCACCCTCAGTTCTTTTTATTCCCACATAAAGCCACACAGAACTATTGATTCCAAGCCCATCAAGTTGACCTTTAATCTTACACCTATTTATCTTAGGGTCTTAACTAGGCAGGACTTGCTGAAAAGGAAACTATACTCTGAGAAGCAGGTTTAAATGTTCTTTTTTTTCTTTTTCTGATATAACACCATTTTTGTTTTACTTGTTTGAAATATACCACTCAGTCTCATAGCCAAAAATTATGAGGAAACATTTTACTTTTTCTTTGTTTTGAAGTAAAAAAAATTAATACTTATACAGGCATTATTGGGAGTGGTTGTAGCATATATCATTTGTGAGTTCATGTTAGGGTTTGATGGTAGCTTCTTGAATGCTGGGTTAAAGGCATGTGTGTCTAAACATAACTGCTCCATCATATAGTGAAGGGGAAGATTTTCAGTATAAACAGTACAGCCAGAGGTATCTGGAAGAGCCCAGAGAAGACAGTAGACTAAATGGCCAGCAGACTGGATCTTGCCAAGGCTATGTAAGAGAGGGGAGACAGACAACGGATAGAGAACAGAGAAAGCAAAGCAGAGAAAACAATAGGGCTATAAGGATTAGGGTTAGCTGGGGGAAGTAATCCTGTGAGCTGGAGGGAGTTTAGAGGAAGGCCGAGAAGATGTTGAAGAAGCCAGGTGACCAGCATGCACTTTGATATGCTGATAGGCAACACCAGTGCCTGGCTTGCAGAGGTAAAGGAAAGGACTTCTTTGGCAGCTGGGAACCAGGGTCAGAAGTTTGTGAGGAATGCTGTCTTTATATAACTGCCAGAAATCCTCTATATTCCAGGTTGAGCCCATTTCTGAATATTTGGACTGCCTTTTGCAATTTGGATAATTAGTTGCCTTTGGACCTGACTGCATGTATCATCATGCCTTACTAAATGATGTATTTTAAGAGGAAAATAAATAATATAGTTCCAATTATGACCATACCTGATCTCAAAGTATATTACAGAGTTAAAATAACAAAAGCAGCATGGTACTGACACAAAAGCAGAAAAGTAAATAAATGGAACAGAACAGAAGATCCAGATACAGATCTGTGAAGCTGCAACCACCTGGTATTTGACAAAGATGACAAAATCCTGGAGCATGTTAGAACCCAGACACTCCAGGTGGACGCTCTCCGCTCTCAGCTGCTGCAAACAGCTGACAAGGCCACCTCCAGCTGCACTCTGCCTTCCCTGCTTTCACAAATATCCAAGTCCTCTGTCTCACCGCTGTTCCTGGGAAGGATATCTTTCAGATAGCAAAGCCATAAACAAAAGAGCCACAGGCAGGACAGGTGAACTAAGCCCATTGTTCATGTCTGATGCCCCTTATCCAGAAATGTACTTGAGACTTTCAAATACTTGTCTCGGCCAAATTAGATATATTAACTGACCTTGGCTCCATTTTCCGTGGCACAACACCTGCCCTCCCCCTTATTCTCTCTAAGGACCTTAAAAGAATAGGTTCTGTTCTAGACAGGCTGAAGTTTTGTTTCTGAAAATCTTACCTGATTTTTTTTTCCCCTGAAGAACAGTTCAACTTCGAGTTTCTCTGGAACTCTGCTTCTTCCTGAAAACCTAACAAAGAAAAAGATAGCCTCTTTAGCAAGATGGTTCTGGGGAAAAAAAAGCTGGGTACTAGCTGTCATTTTTTTTGCTTTCTGTTGCTGTGACAAACACCGTGCCCAAAAACACTTAGGGAAGAAAGGATTTTGTTTTTTCAGTTAGCAGGTTACAGTCCATCAGTGAACTGAAGCAGAAATCACGGAGGGATGTTGCTTACTGACTCATGCTTAGAATACTCAGGTTCAGGGGCTGGGTTATAGCTTAGTGGTAGAGTGTTTGACTAGCGAACATGAGTCCCTCGGTTCAGTTCTCAGCACTGTAAACTAGTAAATAAAAGGATCGCGCATTTTAAAAAAAAAAAAATCAGGTTCTACAGTCTGAGAGCACCTGTCTAGTGGTAGTGCTTGTAGAAGGAATCTCTTGTGTATTGTATGGATGCAACACCTATCAAATAAAAAACAACAACAACCACCTATGGCCTATGGCTGAGTGAGAAAACAGGTTGGATTTCCAGTGGGCAGAAGGGATTCTGGGATAGAGCCAGGTGTGAGAGTCAGCCAGCAAGATATGATGAAGATGGATGGTGCTTGAGCTCAGGTAACCAGCCACCTGGCAGAAGATAGATTAGTATAATGGGTTATTTTAAACTGTAAGCCAGAGAAGAGCCTAGCTATGTAGCCTAGGTATTTGGTTTTGTTTGTTTTGTTTTTGAACATGCCCTAGTCCACATAGCCTTGTGACCCCCACCTCTGACACCCTTGAGGTAGTCACACAGCCTGGTGGCCAGGTTTCGGGTTAAAACTTTCTATTTTCTTATAAGAATTCCTCTTTATGCAAATGGAGCATTCCCAGCACCTCAGCCCCAGCCAATAATGTACACTCACCTCAAAAACCCCTGCCACTTCCCAATGTTTATAAAGCCCCTCCCCTCAATAAATGAGAGCTGTTTCACTGAAAACTGTGTTGGGTCTTGGAGAAGGCTGTTTCTCCCCTCTGAGGTCCTCCAAGGTCCTAGAGACTCACCTGCCGGGCTAAGCTTCATTTATTCCAGTCCAGCCTAGAATCTGGACAACTTTAGAGCAGAAACAGACTGGGACTGACCAATTAATTTCTAGAATACACAAAGAATTTGAAAACTAAATCCTAAACAAGCAATCCAATTAAAAAAAAAAAAAAAAAAAGGCTAAGCCGGGTGTGGTGGCCCACGCCTGTAAACCCAGCACTCTGGGAGACAGAGGCAGGCAGATCACTGAGTTTGAGGCCAGCCTGGTCTACAGAGAGAGTCCAGAACAGCCAGTTACACAGAGAAACCCTGTCCTGAAAAATCAACCCTCCCAATAAGAAAACGGCTCCATCAAATCTGTCTACAGGCAAGTCTGTAAGGCATTTTCTTATTACTGTTTGGTGGGGGAGGGTTCAATCTGTTGTGGGTGATGCCATCCTTTAGCCTATGGTCCTGGATTCTATAAGAATGTGGGCTGAGCAGGGTAGGGAGAGGTGTGTATGAGATACACACCTTTAATACCAGCACAAGGGAGGTAGGAACAGGCAGATCTATACAGTGTGCTCCAAGACATCCAGGACTACACAGAGAACCCTGTTTTGGAAAAAAATAAAATCAATAATAAGGAAGAAGGGAGGGAGGGAGGGAGGGAGGAAGGAAGGAAGGAGAGAAGAAAGCAGGCTGAGCAATCCATAGGGACCAAGGCAGTAAGCAGCACCCCTCTTACGGCCTCTGCCCCAGCTTCTGCCCCTAGGTCCCTGCCCTGTGAGTTTCTGTCCTGATGTTCTTCACTATGGACTATGATGTGGAAGTATAAGACAAATAAATCTTTTTCAACTAACTTTCTTTTTGGTCATGGTGTTTGTTTCATCACAGCAATAGATCTTTTTTTGGGGGTGGGGGGTGGGGGGGGAGTTGAGACAGGGTTTCTCTGTAGCCCTGGCTGTCCTGGAACTCAGTTTATAGACCAGGCTGACCTTGAACTCACAAAGATCCACTTGCCTCTGCCTACCAAGCGCTGAGATTAAAGGTGTGCACACGTATGGCATAAGTTATGTAAGTTGTCAATAATCAATTATTATTACTTGGAGCTATGTTTAATATTTGTGTCTTCATCTATGCATATGCAATTAGTTTTTCCTTCAGTTCCCAGAAATGAAAATACTGAGACTAAGGATAAGCACAATAATAGTTTTGTTGCTTGTGCCTAGATTATCCACAGAAATGATGGCTTACCTCTCCCACAGAGTATGAGAAATTCTTGTTTCTCAACATCTCTTCTAACATGGACACCCTTTTAAAGTCTTGCTCATCAGCTGGGCAGAGTGGCACATGCCTGCCTGCAATCCTGCTACATGAGCAACATAACTGGAAGGTTACAATGAGTTGGAGGCCAGCTTGGGCTACATAGTGAGAGTCTTAAAAAACAAATCAAAGCAATGCAGTTGGCATAGTGGTACAGTGTGTTGCAC